TGCACTTCCGCATGGCTTCCTGTCCGCAGATGTTTTCATTATTGCGTCTACAGGAATCTGACCCACGCTAGACTAGACGCTCTACATATCTACATCTACACTTCTCGACACATGTGGAGATCGAAACACATGTTTTCTGGCGTTGACGTTATATAGTTTATATCACGAGTAGACACTATACATGTCTATATCTACACTTCTCGACTCATGTGGACATCGAAACACGTGTTTTCTGGCGTTGACGTTATATAGTTTATATCACGAGTAGACACTTTACATGTCTATATCTACACTTCTCGACACATGTGGAGATCGAAACACGTGTTTTCTGGCGTTGACGTTATATAGTTTATATCACGAGTAGACACTATACATGTCTATATCTACGCTTCTCGACACATGAGGAGATCGAAACACGTTGTTTCTGGCGTTGACGTTATATAGTTTATATCACGAGTAGACACTATACATGTCTATATCTACGCTTCTCGACACATGTGGAAATCGAAACACGTGTTTTCTGGCGTTGACGTTATATAGTTTATATCACGAGTAGACACTATACATGTCTATATCTACGCTTCTCGACACATGTGGAGATCGAAACACGTGTTTTCTGGCGTTGACGTTATATAGTTTATATCACGTGTTGCACCCACGGGAAGGGGTGACTGAAATAATCAGTCAAAGTTGCTTAGTCTTTCGTATGACGTTTTAATCCCCACACAAAATGGCGGAGATGAAGACGGCATCTCATAAAAAGACAAGCAAACAAAACAGCACACTGTAAACATGATAGCTTGGGATTTTACCTAACTTCAATACTGAAGCATCATGGAGTAACCTCCCTTGGTTGAATAACTGCATTAGATACACATTATAGAATTTTCTCGCTTGGTCCAATGAATATTAGTACAATTATCACATAGTTTCTATCATATGGCTGTATGATAACTCCAATCTCCTACTCTAGGGCCTGTCCCAATATCTATATATACGCCATACCGCTAGCTGTTGTCTACAATATACATGTGCTAACCAAAACTCTACCACTGATGTTACAGTAATATCACAATAACATCAAATTAAGAACTATATATGTGTTCATGCAGGTTTGGACGGAGGACAATGATACTGGCCGGATTATCCAGTGCAGTGTTCTTCAGCATCTGCACCACCTGGGTCACCAATCTCTATCTTCTCCTTGCATGTGTGTTCCTTATAAAAGGTTCATTCAACGTGCAGTTTGTGGCCAGTTTCGTCCACAGTAAGTACATAAACCAAATCCGTAAACTTGGTTTATTATTGAAGTAAATCGAAATACTGAAATGGAGAAGTACACAATTACACAAATGAATTTATAAAAGCACTGAAGAATCACAAAGCCCATCTGACAAAATTGCATTTTACATTCTTATAATTGTTTGACTGTTTAACGCCGCACTCGGCAATATTCCAGCTTTCTGGCGGCGGTCTGTAAATAATTGGGTCTGGACCAGACAATCCAGTTAACAACAGCATGAGCATCGATCTATTAGCAATTGGGATACGGTGACATGTGTCAACCAAGTCAGGCAGCCTGACCACCCGATCCCAATAGTCGTATCTTACTGAATACCAGTTCTAACCCGGATCAGATCTTTACGGGTACATTCTTATGAAGCACAACAGAAAAGCTTAAAACTAAACAAAACAAAACACACTTGTAGTAAAAGGCCATATTGCAGTGTCATCCGAAGTCTTTGTCGGCACAGGCATGGAGATAGTCGGCCCGTCTAAGAGAATGATGACGGGAGTTGCAGTCAATCTCTTCTGGAGTGTTGGGAACATGATTCTGGCTCTTGTAGCCTACCTGGTGAGAGACTGGAAAACTAGGCAGCTTGTCCTCAGTCTTCCTGGTATCATCTTCGCCTATATGTTGTGAGTGTATTGTCTCAATTTCCCTTACAAATATGTACTAAAATCAACCAAAAATAACTTCACGTTCATATGTTTCGTTTTGTCAGCCTTTACATTGGCTCGTGTGTGTCGGGTTTCTCATCTCAGATCTGGTCATCAATATATATATACTGAGTCAAAAAAGAAAATTCACATTCTTTTTTCAGGGCACTATAAAAGAACAAGAGATGGTAAGATGGTTAAATTGTTATTATTTCATTGCTGAGATCTGTGTGATGTACTCGATACACTGACAGTGCCATACTCAGTTCCATTAGGCTACACCGCCGTTCCAAAACATGGGTATACAGAATGTCAAGTCACAAGAATAAAAATGCGAAATTTCTCAGTTCAATATGGCCGCCCCGCGCAGTCACCACTGCCAAACACCGTCTCCTCATCGACTGCCTGATGCTTGTGAACACGTGGTTGGGGATTCTGCGCCATTGCTCTTGCAAGGCAGCGCCAAGTTCCTGCAAATTCTGAGGTTGGTTCCTAAGACTTTAAGCCTTCTCCCAAGTGCATCCCAAACGTGCTCTATTGGATTAAGGGCAGGGGACCTCGATGGCCAGTCCATGACGTTGATTCCAGCGTTTTGAAGGAAATTTCGTGTCAACATCGCGGTATGCGGCCGAGCATTATCATCCTGGAACTGTAGACCTGGGCCATGAGCCGCCATGAAAGGAACGAGTTCAGGGGTGAGCACCTGGTCGCGGTAAGCAGCAGCTATGAGGTTTCCACGGATGACCAGAAGTCGGGAACGGTTGTTCCCACAGAAAGCACCCCATACCATGCAACTTCCGCCCCCGAATCTGTCGACTTCCTGTACACAACATTGGGCATACCATTCACGACGTTTTCTCCAGGCTCTATGCCTGCCGTCCGCGAATCTGAGGGTAAACCTGGATTCATCGCTAAAGACGACTCGATTCCAGTCTCTCTAGGTCCATCGGAGGTGACGTTGGGCCCACAGCAGACGTTGACGTTGATGAAACGGCGTCAATATTGGCCCACGATATGGACGTCGAGAATGGAGATTGGCAGCCCGCAACCGATTTCGAATGGTCTGTGAGGACAGTCGACCTCTAAACATCTTAGCCCTGGTTCATGTAGCCGGCAGAAATCTATCACGTAGGTGACGTAGGACGTGGACGACCCGACCTTGGGCGATCAGAAGTGGTGCCAGTTTGTTGTAGACGACCTCGCAAGTCATACACAGTACGACGGCTGCATCCCATTGCTCTTGCGACGTCAATAACTGATCTTCCCGCTTGCAACATGCCAACGGCACGTTCACGTTGCACATTTGACAATCGTGGCATTTCAAGTACCGTTAGAACTGTGGTTTAAAAGTGTTTTTTCAATTCTTGAGGCCAATGCAAACACGTGCATATGAAGAAAACTTCGATGCGAAGATCACGTGATCGACTGCACGTGCAAAACCTGATTTGGCACTAACGTCATTTGCACGACAAATAGATGGGTTTGTGTGGGTTTTGCTAACGTTTTTCTAGAGTCGAAAGATAGGGATCCCATTTCGGATACATAGATGTATCATCAGAGAAAAATTATTCATTATTTTGCAAATTACATTTTGTGAAGTTTCTTTTTTTGACTCAGTATATTTGAAATTATGTATATTTCCAATATTAAGTCTTTTATTAAAGTGTTAAATGGTGTCCACAAATGGTTTCCGTGTTCTCCCCAAATGCAAACGGTGACTGAGTGAGTGAGTTAATATTTAACGTCACATCGGCAATATTTCAGCCATATCGTGACGAAAACAATTTATACAATATAAAAATGAAAACATTGTGAAGAGTTAAACCTGTCGACAATGGACAGTAAAATTACTAGAGTATCACAGATATGAACATAAAACTAGCATGTAAAAATAAAACAGTGTAATTAAAGAAGACAATACAATATAAAACACGGGCTATAGGTCGCCAGCATCTGAAGGTAGATCACCATACTAGGAACCATGGGGACTTACATTACTTTTGCTACCTGCATGGAGCCTAGCTGGAATTAAACCATCCCTTCAGCCGCTGGCGATTGTAGGAAAATTTAGCCGAAATTTAAAAGAACAAAAATACTACGTTTAAAAACCTGGTACGTGAAAATTTTACTTTGAAAGTTTTTTGGGACTTACGTACCCTCTCAGGAGGGCATTTGCAAACGGTCAAAGACAGAGACAATACAGATGAAATTCTTATTGCCGCAATTTCAAAGGTCAAATATGTACAAAGCAATCAGTAACATCTTAAGACGAGACGTGTTTACACTTAACAGTAATGGGTCTAGTTTGCTAGATGTGGAGTGAAAATAAATTTCCGAAGGATGACTTCAAGTTTCCAACAATCATTTCCTGCAATATTCAAAGAGCTCCATCCTTTGCTGTCTTCACCCTTTAATCATGTTATCACTACGAACATCTCGAAGACCGTCTTATGATTCTTTCTTAAACTTTGTTTGATCGGGTTTACAGTTTTGAGGACATCATTACAATGTTCCAATACGTTGACACGTGAATTCTTGCTGAAATCGTATTTGACCAAGATCTTGGCAATGTTTTTCAATGTTCCATAAATCCCCAGGTTTATTCAGCTGAACGCTAGACTTACCTTAGGTGGGGTCAGGATGCGCTCCCCGTTTAGCGAATGTAACTGGTATCATAATTATTTGAGAGTAATTAAGGGACAAGTTATAATATGACCAGAACCTTAATTGATTTGGCTTGTAGTATACATTTCCTGGAATCTTTGTAAAGACCTACCCTGAGGTAGGTCACGGCACATCGCGAGACCTTAGTAGTTCCGGTGGCAAACAACGTTTCATACCTTTTCGAATGGTCCCATACTTGTCAGTTGACACTAAGGAACCGATAATCCTTGCAGGAATAACAAATTTTCGATCTAACCATCCCCAAATTAGCCAACTAAAAATATTACGACTGTCAACAGCTGTGACAGCCAAGCCTGATGGTTGTACACTTGGTCCGGTCTAGTAAAGTTATATTTGGCGGTCGGGCAATTTGGAACGAGAACTGGTTCTTGAATATGCGCTTCTCACTTGAAATCTGGTACCGGAAGTAACCTGGGTCCCATCTCGCCTGTCGCAGCTTGGGGCGCGTAAAAGGAGCCGGAACTAGCTCGGAAGTAGCGCCTCGCGAGACTTACAGGCCCACCTTTTCCATGGTTATGGATGTGGAAATGTTTTTGTCGCTTTTATTGTTTAAAGTAATGGAAATACTGTTATTTGAGATATGTCCACACTTTCAGCTTTCTCCCCGAGTCTCCAAGATGGCAAATAACCAAAGGCAAGAACAAATTAGCAAAGACAACAATACTGAAACTTGCCAAATGCAACAAGGTTGAAATGTCTGAAGAAACGGTGGAGAGCGTAACGTGTGTTGACGAACCAACAGAGCGCTTCTGGGAGCTGCTGAAATCCCCCATCATGAGGAGGAGGATGGCAGTGATTTGTTTTAACTGGTGAGATTCAGTGAATCCTTAAAGATTGTTCTTCAGTACTATTGCATGCGTAATTCAATTCGTCAACTTCTTCGTTGATTAGGAATGCGTTCTATTGACATGCCAGAAACCGGTGGAACTGCATCCGAAAATGTGTTGACCTTAAACCTGAAGCAACATATATACTGCAGTCTCCCATTGCCTAATGGGACTCATGCCTGTTTCCCATTCCAGAACACCCGTGAAGATCGTTACAATTGGTTTTCAGGAACCCATGCTTGTCGTAAGAGGCGACTAACGGGATCGGGTCGTCACGCTCGCTGACTTGGTTGACACATGTCATCACATCCCAGTTGCGTCGATCAGTGCTCATGATGTTGATCACTGGATTGTCTGGTCCAGACTCGATTATTTACAGACCGCCGCCATGTATCTGGAACATTGCTGAGTGCGGCGTTAAACAACAACACAACCATTCCAGGACCTTCATAAAATTTCAGGCAATTGTTTCATACTAACATCCCTGTAATGTAGGTTTGCGATCGGAATGGGTTTCTATGGCCTCAGCATGAACCTCACCAACCTCTCTGGCAACGTCTACCTAAACTTCTTCCTGTTTATTGTGGTAGAAGCGTGTTCCTATGCTCTCTGTGCGCTCCTCATCAGCCGGATTGGTCGGAGGAAGATGTTGAGTGGAACTATGTTGATGGCAGGAACTGCATGTATTGCCGCTTTCATTCCCTTCTTTGTCGAGAAAACACGTAAGTACTTGTTCTCCTTTCAAGAGAAGCCATATTTAAAAACTTTTCTGTTCTCGTTTATTATATATTATCTGGATATGCAATATCCACTGTCACTGTCCGAATATTTGTTTGTTGTTTAACGCCGCACTCAGCAATATTCCTGCTATATGGCAGCAGTCTGTAAATCATCGAGACTGGACCAGACAATCCATTGATAAATAGCATGACATCGATCTAGGTAATTGGGATACGATGACATGTGTCAACCAAGTCAAGCCTGATCATCTCATCCCGTTATTCGCCTCTTACGACAAGCATGGGTTGCTGAAGATCAATATTCTAACCCGGATCTTCTCGGGTAGGAGTATGGATGAAATCCCATTTCACCTCTCAATCTGACCTTTTTCGTCAGGAATCTTAACAAGAGGATTTTTGTAATAATAGTCAAACACCGTTCCAGATGGGCGGAACTTACGGTTGTGTCGAAGATATTTGGTCCCTGCGTGTTAGTTCTTTCTTCACTATTTTGTTTAGTCCAACATGAAGTATTTACGGTGGTCTCGTCAACATCGATAACGGCATTATAGCACAATAGCGACAATAGTGTACAGTTCATGTTGAGATCTCTACTAAAACAAGACTGCAAGGGTAGACTGACAAATATACATAAAGAATACATGTGTTATGGTACAGCAGAGGCAAACTGTAGTGCAAATAGGGTTGCGCAACAAAGAGAACATGACCAGTTTTCCTATATGCGAGCAAAGCGAGCAAAGGTTGGCAAAGTACTTCCCTCGGCGTCGCTTCGGTTCGAAAAGTATTTTTAATATAAAAATAAAATATCGACACCATCAAAGGTAGACACCCATTTCCTCGCAGGGTTGTCCTCTCAGATTTCCAACCTCATATTTAATAACTGCTCACGTAAAATATTACTTAATTCAACATTTTAAGCGCCACTCGTGGCATATCAAAACGTTCTTCACCTCCATTACCCCTGCCAGCTTCCGGATCAACGGAGTGAAGGAACAGGGGAGTTAAATCTAAATATACTTGTTGAATCATATGTCCGCCATATGGAATACTTGCGGAGTTACCTCCCTTGCTTTTGTGCACCCACTACGCCAGAAGTATTATTTGTAGCATAAATGTTACGAAAATTATAACAATATCGACGGCAGATAAGAAAAATGATATCTTAACAGTTTAATGGTAAAAATAGGCAATATGATATTTCTTTTTAATTTCTGCTTATTCTTGTTCCTTCACTCCGTTGAGGGGAGGCGAAGAACGGTTTGATATGCCACGAGTGGCGCTTAAAATGTTGAGAACAACCCTGTGAGGAAATGGGTGTCTTCCTTTGATGGTGGCGATATTTCATTTTGATATTAAAAGTATTTTTCGAACCGAAGCGGGGGAAGTACGTTGTCAACCTTTGCTCGCTTTGCTCGCATCTAGGAAGACTGGTCATTTTCTCTTTGTTGCGCAAGAGTGCTTTCTTAACAGTGAATACCGTAGCCAATTTGCTAAACTTATTTAATTTTTCTCAGCTAACAAGTGGATCATCACAGCCCTGGCCTGTTTTGGAAACAGTTGCGTATCAGCTGCCTTCGCCACCGTTTACGTCTTCACAGCGGAAGTGGTACCGACGACGACGAGGAATTTCGGCATGGGGCTAGGCTCGGTATTCTGCAGATGTGGTAGTATGTTGTCACCATACATCAATGATCTGGTGAGTTAGAATCACTTTTGGAGGTTTACAGTTTTAACGAGGAATTAACCACAAAGATAAAATATTTCATCTTTAACTCCAATCCTTTCTAGCATCGCTTTGTTTGTTGTGTATATGCAGACCTTTAAAATTGTTATGATGATGTTAGGAGAGATTGTTGCGTTTGACCCTCGCGAAGCATGCATAATAAAATAAGCAAGACTGATGTGTGGATGACAAAGGGCGCGGTGTGGATGCATATTTTAGATGCTTGAGGCCCTCGGTCGTGGAAAGGCAGACGGATAAAGCAATGGAAACCTCTGTACTTCCCCCGGAGACAGCAAGCAGGAAGGTTTGGGATGCTGCTGTAAAGGACATTGGGATACGATGACAAGTGTCAACCAAGTCAGCGAGATTGATCCCCGGTCATTACGTAGGTCAAAGGAAACGTTCCTTCCAATAGTCTTTTCAAAACAAACGGTCACGTTCGACAACAAGACAAATCATGCAAGTATACCAAAGTCCCAGGAGCGACTGATAAAACCCATGATTTCCAGATGATGACTTGATTATACCGTCATGAGCAACAATCAGTTAAAAAGAAAGCAAATCATATGACAATGACTACCAACATCTCGTTTTCACTGTTTAAAATTCTGAAGATTTACCGAAATTGCCTTTGCTCCAACTTCGTAAACTTAAAAATGTATCAGTCGACAGTCAAATTGATAATGACTAATCTAAGCTTTCCATTTTTACAGGCAACGACTACAACCCATTTTGTTGTTTAAGGTTTAATGCAATCGAAACTTTATCATCCAAAACTGACTCCCACAGCAGATATCACGTGTGTGAGTTGATGACCTCACAATGCTTTGACATAACTGAGAACACAGCTGACAATGCCATGACGTAACAAAGTTGATGACGTCACAATGCTATGACCTCACTGGGATCACTGCTCAAGAAGCCTAATGGCAGTTATGTGTTCAGATAAATTCATTCTTTTACTGATAACTTATGAAGAATGATTTTGGATGATAAATAAATTCTCACTCTCGTGTCTTCTGATATCAAATATATCAACACGAGTTGATTAAGGTTACAAATATCCAAGGCTTGCCGAGGATATTTTTACTTTAATCAACGAGTGTTTATATATTTGATATCAGAAGACATCGGACGAGTTTCTCTCTATATATAAACATTAGCTAAATTAGCTTTAAAATAGTGACGGATTTAAAAAACAAATTCATTTGCCGCGTATGCTGGGTCTGAAGCGACACACAGATGCAACAATACATACATCTAAACTATCGATCTAATATATGAAACTATATTTATTTTCAACATAGAGTATTAATGAAAGATATGTCTACAAGCAATATACGAATACTGGAATCTACTTTGCTGAGAACTTTTAATCTCAAATATAGAGGGGACATTTCTAAATGGCATTGTGTATTCATAACGGGGATTTTGCAGGCAATGCCACTCTTTGATGTCAAGCACTGGATTGTCTGGTCCAGACTCGATTATTTACAGACCGTCGTCATATAGCTTGAAAATGCAGTGCATTAAACAACAAACGCACAAACAAACCTTAAAATGTGAAGAGCTAAGCATAAAGCTTTTCTCGTACGTGTGTTTCCATAAGAATTTTCATCCCGTTTTAGTGATGATCTTGACATTGCGACATTAACCCTAAATCAATCATTATAAGTTGTTCACTGGTCACGAGTGAGTGAGTGAGTTTAGTTTTACGCCGCACTCAGCAATATTCCAGCTACATGGCAGCGGTCTGTAAATAATCGAGTCTGGACCAGACAATCCAGTGATCAACAACATGAGCATCGATCTGCGCAATTGGGAACCGATGGCATGTGTCAACCAAGTCAGCGAGCCTGACCACCCGATCCCGTTAGTCGCCTCTTACGACAAGCATGGGTTACTAAAGATCAATATTCTAACCCGGACCTTCACGGGTTCTCTGGTCACGAGGGGGACATGGGTTGATGTACCCTCTATGTTTGTGTATGTTCCCTGATCCCCAAGGAACTGTTCGAAGCACGGGTATCGGATCATAATAAGAAGTATCGGAATATCCAGCAGACAACAAGAACACCAAATTTAGAGTTATCTCCCTTCCATCGATATGCATTCGCAAAACATCGGTAATTTCCATACATCAAACGTGACCCAATTATTCGAGATAAAGATTTATTAACACGAAGTACCATATGAATTCCCACATTGAAAATAATAGAAGAGCGCTCAGCCAATCACAAAACGACATTTATGTGTGAGGTAAGATAAGATTTCATGTACAGGTGAAGTGGATAAATAGGAACATAGGGAAGTGTAAACGTGAGGACGCGGATACAGCTTTTTGAGAAAGGGGGTGGGGGTGGGGGGTGCACAGGCCATTTTTACCCGTTTTCACGAGAGTTACAATAGTCATTTAATAACTTTTCAGGACAAAAGGTCACCACCACTGGACAAGTTCGGCACATTCGGCACTCAAGTTTTTGTCTATCTGACCCTGTTTGTATTTCTTGTATCTAATATTGAAAATATATTACACATATTCTTTATACTTGACTTGCGTTACCTTTGCGTGTGAGTATACCTGTGAATAAATATTCTTGCTTCACCACAGTCTCTCAGCTTCCATTGTTGTTGTGATGTTTATTGAAAACGTCTACCTGTTTCAGACAATGCACATCAGTGGCAAGTACAGTCAGATTCTGCCCATGTTGATATTCGGGGGAATGACCACGCTTGCCGGACTCTTAGCGTTACTCCTCCCAGAAACGTTCAACAACAGACTGCCAGAAACAGTCAAGGACGCCGAGAAACTTGGAACGTGAGTTGGTAACAAAACACAAATCCACAACAAAACAATAACCCCCCAAACCCTGGGAAAAAAACACTTGTCAACGCAGGATTGAAGAATGCCCTCAAATCGAAGTCATTCGCTCAATGACGATATAAAACCCTCCATACAAAAGGGAAATAAGTGCTCTTTTGTTGAAGAAGGATCGTTTCTGTTCGTTTGAATTCATTTTCTTCAAAGCGAATATGGAGGATTGTCACTTCATGTTTTGAATTCAGGAATTAAGTTTATTGCTTTATGCCGGTTTTCTGTTAACAATATCTCTCACACAGTCTTTCAGACTTTTTTCTCCAGCGCCGTTGAGCAAATACTTTTTGGAGACAGGCGCTATATAAATTCATTATCATTATCATATATAGAACATTAAATGATTACAATTGCTTTATTCTGACAGTGACCCGTGAAGAGTTTATAGTCAGCAATTCGTGCTTGTCGCAAGAGGTGACTAAGGCTCGCTGACTTGGTTGACACATGTCATGTCATCGCATCCCAATTGCTCAGATCGATGCTCATGCTGTTGATCACTGGATTGTCTGGGCCACACTCGAACATTTACAGACTGTCGCCATATAGCTGGAATATTGTTGAGTGCAACGTTAGAAACCAACCAACCATCCAAATACGTGTTTGTATTATTTTGTTGGTTTCTACATAATTTTATACTGTTTTGCTTTCAGAAATGCTTTCGAGGAAAGGAACGCAGATACACAAATGCTTGCTGACACACGTTATCAGCACACTAAACTCTAGCAGTGCATGGTATTGTTTGTATCCATCAGTCGATGCAAGAAAATATCAATATAGTAGAACCAATTCCATTCTGTTAAAACGTACAGAAACAGAACCACGAGTAGGATTTTGTCATCACTCGTCGTGTTATATTTATGTACAAAAAGCGTCATGTTTGTTTTGTTTTTATTTTTGTTTCTTTACCGCCTCACACAGCAGTATTCCAGCTACAATATCGAAGGTAGAATTGATCTTCAGTAACCCATGCTTATCGTAAGAGGCGACTAACGGGATCGGGTGGTCATGTTCGCTGACTTGGTCGACACTTGTCATCGTATCCCATCTGCGTCGATTGGTACTCATGCCGTTCATCAAATTTATTCACAGACAGATTGCCGCAATAACTGGAATATTACTGAGTGCGGTTTTAAACAAGAAACCAACCAAACCAATTTATCAAATTCATGTCGTATTTATTCTGATACGTTATTAGATATCATGTTTCACTTTGTATTTCAAAGCTATTTCCAATCATCAACGAGCACAGCGTCAGTTATTTTTTTTGCTATCCAATCACAATGCTTTAAAATCACCCAGTAATGTCTATATTATGTATTCTACATGAATGTATGTATGCCGGTTTCCACATATCCAGGCATGAAAGTGAACTGCAAACACAGATATGCCACCACCAGAGACTGAAAAACAAGCAATCAGGCATTTGTTTGCCAATTGGCATTTGGCATTAACTATTGAACAGCAAGAGTTAATAAAACCCAACATACTGTCTTAAAATGCCCATCTCAGGGAGATTAACCCCAATCGCAGCGGAAGCCGAGACAAATCAGATGGCTGACATCAACACCAGCATTTCAACATGGTCCTAATCCATCTGCCGATCGTGTCTCTTCTGACTTTCATGAACTTTTTCTGATAACTGATTACCAACTGAATCTTCCCTTAACAGCACAATGTCACACAATTTCCACAATATTTGGCCTATATTATATATACTCAGCAGCAAATAAAAATGGCAGTACGAATTCAAAATTAGATAGGCACTGTCATTACAGAACTGGACATAATATGCGGATCCAAAACATTTCTTGTGTACAATATCTTGACACATCAATAAATAACAGTTTCAAGACATTACGTGAACGTTTGCAGTCCATTCAGACTCTTGACTTCAGTATCTAGTGTGACCACCACGAGCGGCAATAACTGCAGCACAGCGTCTATGCATGGAGTGCACCAATTGATTGATGAAGGCCACTGGCACCTGGAACCACACTCTGAGAAAGGCCTGGCACAATAAATCGGCTGTGTTCGGCCTTAGTATGACATCATTCAGTCTCCCCTGAATTTCATCCCAAAGATGTTCAACTGGGTTTAAATCAGGACTAAGGGCTGGCCACTGTATAATGTTGACACCGTTCTCCAGTAGGAAGTCCTGTGTAGCTGTGGCAGTATGGGCCCGGGCGTTATCATGCTGGAAAATGTTGTTCCATGATGCTTGCACCTCCCTAGGAATCTCTTTCCATAACACATTGGTCTGAGTAACGCTGGCCACGTCGTCGCCATATTCTTGTTCTCCCATCTGCAGTTGATACACAGTACCGACTGTTGAGGAGGGTTGAGGATAGGTCCACGGTAATGTCTACGGCAATGGAGGTTCCCGCTGTTAAGACGTCGGCGTGTTGGTCTTCCGTGTGTTCCCACTGTCTGGCGTGCTGTTTCGGATGCCTACATGAAGGGATTCTGTACATGCTGTCGCACAACATGGCGGTCTTGTCATCTTGTGGTCACCCTTGGTCTGCCAGTACGGGGGCGATCATTTGTGGTGTTGGTGGCCCGGAAACGTTGCTGCAGCCTGTAGATGGTCCAAACGTTGACCTGGAAGTGATTGGCAACGGCTTGTGCAGTGTGGCCAGCTTCAAGTCTTCCTTGCACCTGGTTCCTCTGAGCTGTCGTGAGTCGCGGCATCCTGCTGACGTTGTAATGTGAATGTTTCAGCCAGGTTTTGGGGGTGCATTTTATAGGGCTTGTCCTTGTGAACAGCACGTGCAGCATGCGTTGCAAGAAAAACATGGAGAACACCGTGCCATCTGGTTGCGTGTTTGAGACCATTTCCTGGGTTCTATGTTAAGTTTGGGAAGTAATGCCTTTGCTCAGGTAAGGTTGGAGATGTTGTAAAAAATGTACAATTAAAACATTAAATGAGTTTACAGTTATCCGTTACAGCGAAGGAAAATTCCAAACTGACGTTTCTTTTGATGCTTAGTATATATTTGGGCATGTGCACTCACTTTAGCTTCCTACTGATGCAATAAAAGACTTCTTATCCCTTACGACTTGCCTGAAATCCACAATTGAAACTTCGGGGCGAACAGCTTCCAAACACAGAACACTTGCTAGATATGGAATGTAAACAATTGCTCATCGAAAATTGTGTTTTGTTTCTGTAGGTTTCCAACTGAATAAACAACATTTTAGTTCCAGGTCTGAATTAGTCTTTCTTATAACCATAATACTGTCGTTAGAAATGGGAAGCCCAGGTAAGTAATATTCTGAACTATATTCCAAGTTTGGCATTCAAAAGTCAGTAGCGGGTCATACCTCAGATCAACGCTCCTCCGGCTGAATGTCCTTAACATTGGAATAGCGAGACCTTGGGCGTCTTGTATGAATAACGATTCCTATAAAACGAGTATCAGGTGGAGAATCAACTTGACTTCAACAACGACGAATGGCAGACCCAGCAATAACTATTCCCCAAAATGAAATGACGGAAGACATTGTGAGAACGTTGGAAGAACATTCGGTATTGCTCTTGTAGCCTTCCACGAGCACAAGTACCAGTATTCTTTCGGAATTCCCGGGGATGTATTTCTCTTGAGATGATGCAGCAGATGGTTTGTGTGGAAGAGCAATCGAGTTCAGCTTCCGAGGCAGAATCGGAGATGCTTGTCAAGTCTAGACATAACAGATCATCTGTTTTCGACATTCGACATACATAACACAGCGTCTTTTTTCAACATTATTTCTGTTTCATTGTTTCATTTAAGTACGGTTTGCTATGGCAGTCAGTGTATGACACATAAACGTTTTAAATGAAAAACAAAACATCTTTAGTTCATAACCACAGACGAAATGAGGATGACATCATCCTGCTCTCGTGGATCACTCACCAATGAATCTACTGAGTCACAACCACATTCCTCTGGTTGTGACTGTAATGGACTGTACTGGACTGTAATGGCTCCAACAAATATCCACTAGACCTGCAGGCGGTTAAACTCTGGTCACCTTCAGACAAATAGGCAGCATGTCAGTATAGCTTCAGACCAAAAGGCAGTATGTCAGTATAGCTTCAGACAAATAGGCAGTGTGTCAGTATAGCTTCAGACCAAAAGGCAGTGTGACAGTATAGCTTCAGACTAAAAGGCAGTGTGACAGTATAGCTTCATACCAAAAGGCAGTATGTCAGTATAGCTTCAGACCAAAAGGCGGCATGTCAGTATAGCTTCAGAATAGTGGATATAGCGTCTGTCCATGCATTACCAGTATAGCTGCAGACCCAGTTACAAGTACAGTTCGTGACTCATTTAGAACTGTTGTCAGTTAATATTTTTTTCATCCGTGTTTGGCTTACATTAACATACAAAGTTACTTTAATAAATGTGCAGGCAAGAGCAATCGGTGTAATGGATATTCATTGTCATGCCTATGGCGCATGTCAATTCATGTGGACAATTAATGTAAAATGCATAAAACCCAGATATAATTTCTCTCCCAAATATCTGGTTAATTTTATGCAACACCGCCATACTATAGCTGGAATATTGTTTAGTGCGGCGTTAAACAAGACAAGCAGCAGCTGCTTCACTAACTATATACAGCTTGCTCAGAGAGTCAGATGACCGCCGATGGCATATTGCATTCGATGCATTCTCGCTGCTACTTCTTGAGAGTGCTGCAGTTGAAGAGTTCAGAAGAGATATTTTTCAAATATCTTATGAAATTGGAAAGTTCACAGTGAGTAGACGGCGTACAACAACCACGCTCATTTTCAAACACAGTACCCATATGAAGAATAGTACCTGGATTCATTGATAGACGATAGTGCAGGAGCTTCAGCAACACATTCTGGAAGAAATTCCCCTGACATCAAAATGAAATTCGACGACTTGCTTGTATCACTGGGCGACTTTGGACCTTTCCAGAAACGTTTGTACCTACTTCTCAGTCTCCCGGCGGTCCACACTGCATCCATCACTGTGGGTATCTTTGTGTTTCTATTCGCTGTGCCACAGCACAGGTAAGTTCCGCAATAGCGGCGAGTGTGAGTGAACTTTACGTCACATCGGCAATATTTCAGCCATATCGTGACGACAGAAATTCAAAAATTAAGAATAAATCTTAGAATACTTTATAAAACGCTGTCATCGAAGGATACTAGAACATCACATATATATTATTTAAAACCAGTTTGAGCAAATGAAATGAAATAATATTAAGCTTTTCATTTACAAACACATTATAAAATTTGGCTAGTGATCGCTAGTGAGGCCACCAAACTAGTGACCGTGGGGACTTCTGCTTCCTGCACGGCTCCCCAGCAGGATTAATACCATCCCTTCAGCTACTAGCGATTGTATGCAATGTTAGTCATATATGTAAAATAATAAAATACATATACTACGATAGGAGAATAATTGGATACATATAAACTCATTACATTCATCGGTGCTAAGGGGTAGCCTAGTGATTAAAGCGTTCGCTCTCGGGTTCGATTCCCAACATGTGTACAATATGTCAAGCCGATATCTGGTGTCTCCGGCAAAGTATAGCTCCAATATTGCAATACGTGGCGTAAAACCTTACTCATTCCATTATCAGAAAAGCAACAGTGACTGTCACTGTCAGACAACCACCTGTCATTTGAGAGAACATGAATATTGACTGCCGAAGCAACCTCTAAAGGGTGTAAAATGAAAAAACAAAACAAAACGGGATTGAAAAGCCTTATCTTCCTTGGGGACGCATTTTTGTAATGTGCCTTTTACAGGATGACTGAGTATGAGTTGGAATC